CCCCCCCGCCGCTCTCCCCCGCCCCCCACTCCCCCGGCCGCGCCGGATGCGGAGCAGACGCGGCGCGCGGCGGTGTGAAGTTACAGCCCGGCCAGGTACCGGCGGGAAGGAAGGGCAGTGTTCGCAGGACTCGGGAAAGCCGGGCCCTTCTTTGGAAGGATGCAGTGGGGGCTCAAAGGACGGACCCGGAGCACAGTCCGAGCTGCTCCCTCGTACTTCTATCCCTCTTAGGTCCATCTCGGGACACTCCTGGCTGGGAGGGTTAGTCCCCACTTCTTATCCCGGTGCGGGAAGTGGGTTAAAGTGCAAGTTTGTGGGGGTGTGTGCGGGGGTTGCTCCTTAACTCATTTTCTGGGTGCGCAGAAGGGGCGGGAGCCATACCGGTCCTCAGGACACCCCCTCCCGCTACGTGGGCTGAGGAGCCATTCGGTCGCTAGGAGGCAGAACAAGATCAAGAAAGCTCAGCGAACTTGAACCTGTACCAGAGCCTCCCCCACCCCCTGCCCGGCGTTTCTCGGCCGGGGAGGGACGAGCTTTGAGAAGGTGGGGGTGGGGGGAACGTACGGTTAGGCTGAATTCCCTTTCTTCCCCCCACCCCTCACCCCTTATGTCTTTGTTCTTCACTTTGACTTTAAAAATACTCTGGCCTGGGCTACAGAGAAACGCCGGGGCACGCTGCCGACACCCCCGTGCGCGAGCAGAAACCATCGCACTCTGGGCGCGGATCCGAGTGCAGTTTTCGCTCTCTTTCGGGGCGGGCATTTTGGTAGCGAGGAACAGGGAGCGCGCGCTCTTGGACTTCGGGGCAGGGACGAAGGAAGGGCTATGGCAAGTTTGCACTTGGACTCCAGGTTCACTTCTTCCACCCTCTCTCCCCCACGCAAAGCACAGCCTCGGCTGCCGCGGCCAGCTTGCTGCATCGCTCTGCAGCCCCACGCAGCCGGACAGCCTCCCCCCGCCCCCTTCCTGGCTCCCGCAGCTTTCGCCTCGGAGCCCGAAATCACAACAATAGTAATAGTTATCATCATAATGATGCGGGCAAGCAGCGTCATTAATAATGAATAACCGCAGCCGCCACCGCGCGCACGCGGATGCCTAGAATTGCGGGGGGAAATGCATTCGCGGAGGTCTATGAAAGTAAGAAGTGTAAGCGGGTGGACACAGAATGAATTTCTGGACCCACGCTTGGGGTGCGTGTAGTTATACCGACACTGCACCGGGTTATCCAGCTGAGTTTTCCAAACCTCGTTTCCTTTCTCACCACTAGCTAGCCCCGTGGCCCGGCCGCACCGTCGTGGAGGCGGCGGCCGGGGCCCCCTGGCTGCCCGCTGTCTACCGGTCTCCGACCCCAAGGTCCTGCGGGGCCGCAGCACGTGTTCGTAGCAGGCGCGGCTCAAGCTAGCAAGCCAGCGTGCTTTGTGCTTGTGCCTCAAGTCCCGGCGCCCAACTTCACTTTCAGCGCGGCCCACTCCTGCCCCGCCATCTGGCCCGGCCTGTAGCCCCTGGCTTCGCTTTTGTTTCTTTGCTTTTCCCCCTCTGCATTTCAGCCTCTGTTTGGTACTTTACCCTGTGAAGACCAGGGGAAGGTCCTGGAAAGCAAACTTGAAGACACCTCTCCTTTGCCCCTCCCCCTCCCTCAGCCGCTTTCTTTCCCTACTCCTTCCCGACATTTCTTCCAAGGCTTTTTTCCTGTCTTTTCTTTTTTCCTTCTTTCTCTTTTTTCCCTTGAGAATTTATTCCTTTGCAACAACAGAGAGGAAAGAGATCTCAGTTTGCCGCTGAGACATTGAGATTGAGACGTTTCAGTCTGCCTTGCAGTGTGAATGCAGAGCCATTTTATTTTCCATTTCTTCCTCCCCCTTGTAGAGAGAATTCGCGGCTAATTATTATGATTATTTGCCCACTCCCTTCCACTTCAATCGAGGACTCCCTGCTTTGTAGCCAGAGTTTAGGCCTGAGCTTAGAAGCTATGGTTATTGTAGGGGTGAAGGAGGATGGAGTTGAATTGAGGGAGGGGGTAAAATGGCTGAGGTTAGAAGGAAAAAGAGGAATTTGCATGAAAATACAGAGAAATTGTCAGATGCCCAGAAAGGAAATGTTGATTGCCACTGAGAAAAGATGTCAATGCAAATCAGTCGAGTACACCAAGAGAACTGTATTTTCATATTTTCTTTGTGACCCACTTCGCATGGTTTTTAAATAATATAGCAGCAATAATAAAAACACGTTTTGATATTTGTCTGCACGTCACCAGCCAAATGTTTTGCAAGGAGCCCGATGTTAAACGTATTTCATACGTTAGGATATAATTCTTGTTAATTAGCAATAATTTACGTTAAGAGCATAGAAAATGTTGAGGTTACAGGTTTTATATCTGTACATTTGATCATCTTGTTATTTTCAAGAACTTTGCCTCCTATAAAATTAATTAGGTGAAATGTGGAGGTGTAATCAGCAACCTCTGAATTACCACTTCATTTCCTGGTTTTGATTGTAAATCAGTTCAGTCACTACATTTAGAAGACTTTAACCAAGTCTGTTTTGTACCGAATTCCCTCCGAATTCCCTTTAACTGTTTGATACCTAGGAGTATATTTTCTTTTGCTCCTAAATAATAACCACTTTCAGAAATGTGTCAGGCCTTGGGAATTAAAAAAAAAAAAAGGATCTTAATGGTAGAATTAAAAAATGTTTTTGCAAAGGTTTCACATATTACTAACTTTAATATATTTCCTGCATCTTCCTTCAATCTATAAAGCTCAGAACTCGTAGTTATTGCCATACCAAAAAAAAAAAAAAAAGAAAGAAAGAAAAGCTGCATTTGTCAATGTGTACTTAAAATCCTTAATTCACATAGCAGGGATCTTGGAGGATGACTTCCTATTCAAGTCCTCACTTGGTTAAAATGAAAGGAAATGTAGGAGAAAAATGACATAAAGGCACAATGCAGGAGCGTATCCGCTTGCCTTTTATTTGAAAGGTATGCATGTGTATTCTGTTTTTATCTTTTGGTCAGTGTGTTGGGCAAAAAATGTAAGTGCTCACTTTGCTGTCTTCATTAGTAGGAATATAACCTTCATATTCCTGTGGTGACCTTATGTTAAATTAGGAGGAGTACCAGAGGCTAGAAATGATGACATGTCCTAGTTGAGCACAGGTGCAGCTAGGCAGGGCTCTCTCAATATTATTTCACCCAGCACATCTGGGAGTTACTCCAGATCTTCCCCCTCAATATCCAGCCTGGGTAGGGTTGAAATAAATTTAACCTGAGTTCACTGGATTTTTGCACTTTATCAAATCTGTTCCAATATTCTACACTCAAATTAAAATCTATTTTTTGATTCTCTGTGGCTTTAAGTTCATTAAATGTGAAATTGGCAGCTTGCTAAAGAAGGTCAGACTGATTAACTGTTTAAGACTTGTACATTTTCTGCTTCGGTTTTATTAACTGGAAGCATCCTGGATGTGTTTGGTATTTTGTGTGTGTGTGTGTGTGTGTGTGTGTGTGTTTAATCCGGTAGAGAAAGCATGAGTTCATGAGCAGAGACTTACCAACTCTTGTTTCCCCTTTGGAAAGTTAAAAAAAGGTAGAAGCTGTTTAAACAGATACTGGAGTATTTTGGTGCAAAGTTGGGGGGGGGAGGCAAACAGGAAAGACAGACGCGTCTACCTGGTTATACCATCCGCTGGTGATTATGTGTGCAGAAATAGTCCCGTAATGAAGTGTTTTGGAGCTCATTCAGAAAATTTGTCAACTTTGACAACATTAGTGACTTCTCAGCCTTGTTCTGATATGTGGTGTTTGCTTGACCACTCTGATATTTCTGTCATGGATGCCACCAAATGCAAACATGTTTAGGATATTTTAGGCATTTCTTTCTTCAAAATGAAAAAATGACTAATTGGCTTATTTTCTTAAGTACTCAGAAGTATCCCATTTAGCTAATGTGTCTGAGAAGAATTGCCGGTGAATTTGGTATTTCTTTAATTCCGTGGCACTGCTGAGAGTGAGATCAGAAAGGTTTTGGCAGTGTGAATTATGCTGCCTTATGATTATTATTTAGACCCGTCTTACAGGTGAAGGCAGTCGTTTTCTTATTACGGCAGTGTAAATGTGGCACGTTTTCCCTGTGATGTAGTAGCTTTCTAATTTATGAAGCCATGTCTGTATACTTAGGAGTATATACATTCACACACAAAGGGGGTGTGTGTGTGTGTGTGTGTTCACCTTTTCTTTTATTCTTTGGCACAATAGAC